AACGACACCCTTCGCCCCCGTCATATATTTACGGCGAAAAATATTATAGGCTAGAGCAGTAGTTATAGCAGTTGTAGTAGTTAGGAATAATTATTTTTCAGTGGTAAAATAATAAAAAGTGTGATATACCTCCCTAATTAATATTTGATGGATACATGTATATTTATACTTGGGAAAAAATGAAATTAAAATAATCAAAATATAAAAAATTTGGTCCAATCAATCAAACGTAATAGTTTTAACAAATCCAAAAAGTCTGATATTTAAAATATATGTTTGTATTATCATTATTATTGAATGATTGCCAGTCGGCAGAAACCATGTGATAATCGTGCCTTTTTGTCTGTACTGTCTTGATTTGCATTTATTTAACTTATTTTTAATGTGCTATATCTTCTATATTAAAATTATTATCAAAATTATTTGTTTCCTACTAAAAGTGCCATTCAGAATTGTTTCTTGTAAATTAATATATTTTGCTCTTTCATAGTTTATAATGCCATGTATTCAATCAATAGATTTAGATATTATTGTTTCTTATCGTTTTTTCTTACAAATTTTGTATAAAAATGAATTAATATATTCTATAGGTACATTATGTTAATAATACCTTTTTAATGTAGTCGACACATAAAAATCAAACATTCATGTGTCATAATAATTTGTTAATAAGTATTATTTTATTAAGTTATGAAACACATTTTTTTAAGTTAATTATTGTTTATATAATTCAATCATAATTATCCTCATTAGGTTATTTCATTTTTATTTTTGTTTCGTATTATTAATTTCTTTTATTGTTTCTGTTAAGCCCCTACATTTATCATGTATTACTTCATTTAATTATCACATGAGTATTTATGTTTACATCCTTTTGCTTTTATTGTAATATTTTTATTAAAACAAAAACAAACATTTATTTATTTTTTAAACTATCTTAGTTTTATTATTTTAAAAAAACAAAGTGAGTGTGTAGGTAATACTTTTGGAGATAGGTTGAACTTTTCATATTCCAGTCAGTACAAATATTTACTTGGAATAATGCGTGTATATTATTAAACTTATATGGTGTATCAGTCATTCATCGTTGCTTGCTCTGCTATTATGGGGTGTTCCAAAACTGGTTTTTGTCATGTCCGATGGGCGGTATGTTTTTTTTATCATATTTTTGTAAGTGTCAATGTACTAACTTGGGATCAATATTTTTATGTAATAAAATTTTAATATTTGCTTTGGATTTATTATGAACAAAACGCTTAGGTACTTGTAAGTATAATAAAGTAAGTATAATTATTATTCTACTACACATAATTGTCAAGTATATAAATTGTTAATTTTTTTTTTTAATATATTTATAATATATAAAATAAATGGCAAACAATGGGTTGTTACATGCATGCTTTTTGTGGTTGCTCCTGGTAAGCTGAATTTGATATTCGAGTTGTGCCTCCACATATCCATTGGAATTTACTAAAAAAGTGAAGTATACTAGTCAATATATGAAATATAAATAGGAAAATTGACTACTTATAAATTACAAATTATTCAATAAATATATCTTGCTGTTCTTCCTGTATAATAGTAATTTCTCAATTTCTTTGAAATGAAAATATCAACTTGATACTAGTAAACATTCAGTGTTTGCACAACTCGATATATATTGTAGGTATAATGATGTTTGTTGTTTTCTACAGACTTTATGTTTGCCATCACCGGCACAACAATTGATAATTCAACAACTGTACGTTATGAATGTCCACAATGTAGCCGTACTTACAAGTGGAGGAGTTCCCTTAAGAGTCACCTGCAAAACGAATGTGGAAAGGAACCCAGATGTCTATGTCCTCACTGTCCATATAGGTGTAAAGTGCGATCAAATCTGTTAAAACATGTGCGAAACTATCACAAACCTCCTCCATCAGTTGTTCAAAATGCCATGTATGAAGGATCAAAAATTTCACACCAATAACAATGCTCAATGTTTTTTTTCTTATAAATGATCTTTTAGTGCCAAATTTTACTATTATATTTTAAGTTTTTCTGATAATTTGATATTTTATTATTTAATATTTATGAATATTTAGATATATTTATCTACATATATATATATATATATATATATATATATATATATATATATAGTATATATATATAGGTATATATTTTTCTATTTTAGTCAAACAAATACAATTACCTACTTAATAATTAATTAATTTTTGGGACTGAATTTAATTATGTGTTGATAGATCTTAATTTTTTTTATTGTGTGTTATGTTTTCAATTTAGACTAAAATATTAGATATAAGACAAATACAAATTTGGGTTGTACAAAAAATAATTGTTATACATTTCCGGATTCTTACTAAAACTTTCTGTTTGTTTTAGTATTGATACGTCATATGAATCGTTCTTAATAAATAAATAAAAATACCAATCTATGCAATATTTTTTGAATATATAGTTAAGTTTTTTAATGTTACCTTAAGAATGTCAATATCCCCATTTTACGCTCTTTGGAAGCAAACCTATATTATCATCCCTTGGCTATAAGTTTACCTCATAGTCTTCATTTATCAAGAGCATCTGTAAATAAAGGTAAGTATTAAATAAAAATAGTAATATTTTTGTTTTAGAGATTTAATAATGTGTTTTTATAGACCAATTGGTTTTTTTTTTTTGTGTTTTTTTAGTTGCGTTTTTTCCTAATACATGTTTTAGTCTAACCATTGGTACATAGTAGTTATGATTGGTCATTCATTATACAAAATGTACTACTGTTTTACAACACCGTGTAAGTACTATATATAAAAATGACTTAATTGTTATATTACAAATAATAATAATAGTACTAAATGCAAATTAATTGGATTTTAATATTCTATATTAAATTTAATTCTATGAGAAGTCAAACTTTGCCAGAAGTATTATCATAGAATAATTTATAGTTGAAAAAACTTAAAAGTTTTGGTAGTTCTGAATTTGAACCCAGGATCACCGTGGCCGATTAGGTGCTTAAAAGTAGCTGGTCAGAACAATTGACTAGCAGTTGTGGGGTCCTTGGTCCAAGTCTTTTACCCAAACTTGGAACGTTTTTTGAACTATAATTGCTTTTAATGTTATACTCTTAGCCAAGTTTTATTTCTTATCAAAATTAATTTAAATAGTACTAATATTTGCTACTATGTGGTATTTAAAATGTTATGATATATTATTATGATATGTCATACAATACAAAGTAAATTGTACTTAATAAATAATTATTAAAAAGTTAAAATACAAAGAAAATGTTATGTTTGTGTGAAAGTAATAAAATCACTACATGTAATTTTGATTTTTGGCCACTTAACTATCTACTTTTCCTTACTATAATATCAATGTTTATTGCGTTTTCGGTTAGCTATAATGTTAACTAAATGAAATCTGAGAATAAAAATAAAGTGGAAGGCTCTAAAAAAGAGGTTCCTATATGTAAATATTTGAGGGCTATTCAATGAAAGAAAAAGACTAGAGAAAAACTAACATTAGTTTACCTAACTTACTTCTAATTGCAAAATTATTTGATTAAAATATAATAGAGAAAATAGGAAAATGTTAACTTAAAATAAGAAATCAAAACTAATTTCCTATAAGAGCCTTTATTTTCCAAAATTACAGCACATCCAATTTCATTTGGACTAAATAAAAAGTACTTATTTAAAATATGTCGAATATCTCAATTACAGTAATCACTTCAAAGAAAGTAAATTCCAATGAGTTCCCTCCAAAAACACCCGGTTCTTATCTATTCACAATAAAAAATAATTTATGTATTATTTGTATATTTTAATCTTTCGGTCATTTAAATTAAAAAAATGAATATACTTTATAGAAATATAATATTTAAAGAAAAACATATATTTTTAACATATTTAGAGCGTAGAAAACAGCTATGGAATAACAGAATAAGTTTTATTTTATTTTAATAATTTAATACAGGCCAAGGCCCAGTAACATAAAAAATGTGTACATTAGTTAATTACAGTAAATAGTAGAATGTATGCATAATAATAATAAATAGAAAATGAAATTCTCAACGGAAACTAAGCTTATTTTAAAGAGAGAAAGAAGAGTCAGTATTGGCAATGCGCATAAGACGGATGATTGGAGAGTTCAGATAGTAATCAGAGGAAGAGAAAGGGATATGAAAAGGGGCAGATGAACATGTGCGGCGGCAGAGGACATTGAAGGAAACTCGGGATAGAGAATCAGAGCAGTCAATTTTAGAGGAAAGTAGGTTAGTTGGAATGATATGTTAGCTGTGTGTCGGCGATCAGCGAGACTTTCAAGGGAGAGAAGATGTTGGATTGGAGTGTAGTCATGAGGAGGACAGGGTATGTTAAGTTTATAGGCAGCGTGACTGAGGAATTTTCTTTAAACCCTTTCGATCATATTACGGGCAGAAGAGGTGGATGGGTCCCAGATTACAGAGCCATATTCGAGAATGGGACGAACTTTAGAGCAAAAGAGAGTTTTTAAAGGAGAGAGTAGGTGAAGTTCTGTTGAGACTCGATTAATGAAACCTAGCAGCTTAAGGGCCTTACAACAGGTTTTATGACAAACATTCTTGATATAGGTACCAATAGTGTCCTGCCTAAACTGTTGGCTAAGTTTATAATGTTATAAAAATGTAAAACTTCTATTAAATCTAGTGCTAATATCTTAATAGCACTGGAAAGTTGACAAATGAAAAGTCCAGTTATTTTCCCGGCAACAAATAAGAATTTGCCAATATGATTGCCTCGTGTAGGCTAAATATCCATAGTTGGAAAGTTCCCAAGTATAGACATTCGGCATAATTGAGGTAGCCTATATTGACTTCTTACATAATGCTAGGAAAATAACGAAGACTTCCTGGTGCTATTATAAACACCTATTTATTCAAAAATAATTAAACAATGATGTTTTTAGATAAAAAAATAAAATTTCTTGGCTATATTAATATTTTATGATATTTATCTTAGTTTCAGATTCAGATGCGTTGTCTGAGAAGTTTGAATGCAAATTGTGCGGCAAAGTGTACCAATGGAAGCAAAGCTTAAAACGACATATACGCGAAGACCGTTGCGACAAAGGACCGCAGCATGCGTGTCCTCGTTGCGGTATGAGTTTCAAACATACCAGTCGCCTAAATAAACATGTCATACTGTGTCCACATATTGTGTTCGACGACAACCCAACATCCTCATCTACAGTATCTGCATCTACATCTTCAACACCTACAGTACAGCGTATACTCAAATTACCCGCTCCGTGCCCCGATGCATTGCCAATTACATCAGTTTCCACATCTTCGACCACAACGACATCTCCATCTCAAACAATATTGGTGTTACATTTGAAAAACCAAAATTTGGCACAAAATTGGAAATCGAACATCCAAAAGTTAGGAAATTAATATTTATTAATTTAACGATTTTTCTTAATGATACAGTCAATGTTCTTTTATTTTCATTATACATTTATTTATGTTCTTTATAGCCATATTAAACAATAAGCAATTAAGCATTTTTGCTAATTCTTAATGTAGTTAATATTGAAACACTGATGAACAAAATATCATGACTGTAGTAAATAATTCATTTAAATATTCTGGATTCAGGGTAGGAGTCGAACATGGGTTGTTTTTTATTGAATAATAGCAGAATTAAACTTTCCGTTTTATTTTCAAAACTATACTATTTAATATTCTCTTATTAGTTACTACTCTGATTCCAGGGTTATTTCTGAACTAGTCAAATATGAAACAAATCATTCTAGTCTTTATTATTTCATTATTAAGTGCAATTTACTGAAAAATAATTTTGAGTTTAGTAGTAGGATAAGAATGCGTATATTAATTGAAGTGCACGGTACAAGAAGTGGTTAATTTGAATTTTGATCAGAAATTCCAGAAGTCTATAAACTCCTTAAAAAAATAATTGCTATACATATTTTGATAATTATACTAATCTATTTACTAAATAAGCTGATAATGAAGAAGTTCAATTATTCTTTTATTATACTGAGTCCTTCAATTATTGTACTTGCCTATTATTGAATAAGCATACATATTCTTGTTAATTCAGTTTTAGAATATATTTTTGATTTGATTTTTACAATGTTTTCTTGAATTCATTCTAGTCTGTAGGGTATCACACTGATGTGTTGTTTGATTTATAATATCAATATTGTTTAAAACCTCTTTTTTTTTAAAACCTATCTAGTCATACTTGTGTTAAAATAAATATTCAGAACTAAAATATTTTTATATTATTTTTTTTTTATTGATCTAAAAAAGCAATTTGCCAAATCTATTTAATATTTTATTGGTTGTTCAGATTTTATTTTATTAATACCTTAACAATGTTACTTAACATGTAAAATTAATTATTTCTTTTTATCTATATATTATGTTTGTAACAGTAATCAAACACGCACAAGACACATCGATTTTGTCAATTTTTGTTTTTTGTTTTTATTTTAAACAGATTGAGCTTGTATTTTAGTTTTTATAAAACCGGTTAACTATTTACATGAAAGTAACTGTAATGTGTTCACTATTAAAATTTTGAAAATTATATTTTATCTTAATATTAAAATAATATTTTTTAGCTGCATTTATCAAGATTATATATTAAAATTATTAGTCATTAACTTTCATAGTTTTGAGGTTTTTTTCCTTTATTTGAGTTTTACATTAATGACATTTTTTTTAAACTAACTGTGTATAACTTTTTTTTTAACTAATCATTTGATATTTTTTATGTTTTTTAAGTGTAACTAGAGTGCAATGAATATTTGATATGTGGTTAATAGTAGTTTGAATTACCAAGCTACTTATTAAAGGATTGTTCTGATAGTTTTAGGAAGTGTTACTAGTCATCTATAAATAGCACAAATTTAAAATAAGTTTTGTAATAAAACAATGATGGTTTATATTTACAATGCAAACAATTATATTAAGACTAATGAGTTTCCTTTATTTTTGTCATTCTGTAGCTTAACTAACATGATTTTCTTTTTGTGTGTGTGTGACATTTGTCATTTTAAATGTATATATATTACTTAATTTTTTACAATGTATTGTGCATACACGTAAACATACATTATATATATATATATATATATTATATAGACAAATTGTATTTTATTATATTTTGAGTGAGCAATACAAAACATTAATTTACAACACTATACAAATTGTGTTATTGTTTTATTTTTGGTAATTGTTTATACTTAAATATTGTAAATTGTTGTTGAAAAACACAAAGGTAGAAATTTTCATTCTCAACTTATATCTAAGGGTTTAATGCTTAATCATTCTTAAAACTCCATAATATGTTACAACAACAGGTGCATATCATATTAAATTTAATTCTTGCTATATTATGTTTCAGGGTATCATCGAGCGTTGTGGATTACTAAGTGCCCTTACTGTCGACTAGTTATTGCCACTGAATTAGAAGACCATTTGGGCTCTTGTAGTGTATTCACTACGCTCAAAATGTATTGTATAAATAAAAATAAAAAATAACCATAAATTAATTTTTTTGTACACTATACTGTTATAACTGATATATATATAAATTATGTGTTAACAATTCATTTTTTAGTAAATTTTGTGCTATTTTAGAATTAAAATTGATTATTATTGCTTTCAAGCAACCCTTATAATACCTCTTTCTTATGCATTTTGCTTCTTTTTTATTTTTTTCATAAACTAAATATTGTAATGTTCTCAGTTACAAAATTAAAGCAATGTATTTTGTAAATACAATGCCATTTAAATTTTTTCTTTATAGAAAAACCTTGGATATGCAACGTATGCGGTAAATGGTACAAACACAAAGAATCATTGAGACGCCACACTAGAGATGAATGTGGAAAAATGCCTCGACACAAGTGTAAAATTTGCAATATGTATTTCTATCACAGGCATAACATGAAAACTCATTCCATCACTAAACATAACATATTAATTTAAACATCAATTTATTTTCGTGTAAATGAGCAATTATTTTTGTCTACAATGTTAATGTTATTCATATTAAAATGAAAAAGAAATATGTATATCATGGATGCTTATTATACAATTTTATGAATTTGCTTAAATATATAGATTTTGTGTGCTGGTTAAGTAGCGTGCACGCATGTACAGTGTACAGTAGTTAAGAGCTAATTGTAATTTTTTCCACAATCCCAGATCATCAAAATGGCTATTTCAAGCTTGGCAGATATACGTTGCCACCCACCAGTCTCCACCAAGACATAACAAACAATGATGGCTCTTCGTTCGGGTCTATTTCATCTCCAAAATTGGCGGCATACACATGTGCTAGGTGTGGAAATTCTTACGCTCGATTGCATAGTTTAAGTCGTCACTTACGTTTTGAATGTGGGATTGACCCGAAGTTTGAATGTCCCGTTTGCAAAAAACGGTCCAAACACAAGCACAATCTTGTGTTGCATATGAAAACTCACCTCAAGTAATACTACTGTATGCATAAATAATAAAATTATTTTGCATTTAATAGTCACAGATATCTATCAGTAACTGTAGTCACAAGTTACCTTTTTATCTTCCATATAATAGTTGTATGCATTAATTTAAGTTTGATAAGTGAAAAATTCATAAAATGACTAGACTATCTTACACTGAAAAAAGTTTTAGTCAATATTCAAAAATTATTTTTAAAAACATTTTGTAATTTATTTTCAGTTTTCGTATTATTATGTTTATATATTGTTATAAAAATGTATTATTCTATTTATTTATTTAAATAGAACAGGTAATATTATTGCATCCTACTATTTTTTTTTTAAATACACCAATGATTAATATAATTGATTTTATTAGTCCATATAAATGTAGTTAGTTTTAAAAACATTACCTACACATATCGCTTTAATATATCATCTATATTTATAACTACTAAGCTTACACAACATACTTATTTCACATTTGTATTTTACAATGTTGACAAATTTAGCAATTTCAGATGACTTGGATGAAAAGTTATTTATGAATCTTCGGCTCGATGAAAAACACACGTGCCCGGATTGTTTGGATTCGTTTGATAATCGATCTAATTTATTGAATCATCGAAGTCAAGTGTGTGGTCTAGATTTAAAATATGAATGCACAAAATGTCAACGCCGGTTTAAACATGAGCACAATTTAAAAGGCCATAGAACTATGTGTATAAAACAAAAAAAGGTTGTATTAGAAAAAACAAATACGCCAGACAACAATTTTTTACCTTAATGTTTAAACATAGTTATTAGGTGCAGCTTTATGTAACTAATTGTAAACATTTTATATGATGCATTGCTAACAACAGATACATATTTTTATTTTTTCTTATAAAATAGAATAAAAGACTAATGCCTTAACATACACTTAATAGAATGATCACATTTTAAAAATTACAATGTAATCCTAAAATAAAATGTGTTTTTACAAATCTGGGCGCACTTTAAATCCAGGACCATAAGGTTCTTCCTTCAATGATGTTAATCCATCAATAGGCTCTGATGCAAATCTACTAGATCTATATAAACATAATCAGAATGATTGTAAAACTTAATAAATAATTTATAATAGTAAATGTGTTTTTTATTAATGTTTACCTAGGCCCAGGAGTAGGAGTTTTTCCATTTTTTAATTCATCAATAATTTCTTCTACGTCTTTGGTTGTCAAATCCTCCTGATAAAAAAAAATATAAAATGTAACAGTATAGTCAAAATTTAACCTTTTAGCCACTGTGTCAAATGATAGGACAAACCCTTAAAATTGTAAATATTTGCCTGTATCTATGGGAAAATGATTAATACAACATTTAAATTGTTTCGTGCTAGATAAAAAATTTGAATTTGTGACTTAAAAAGTTTATTTAAGTTTTTCTATCATCTCAAACAAATATATTATTTACAAAGAAATCTTTTTTCTACAAATATCTAAATAATAAAAATGTTGAGTAATTTCTGCAATGTTTCTTTTAATGTACTAAAAATGGGATATGCACGGTCATTCTGTTTTTTAGTTTTGGAAACTAAAAAACAAATTTAAAAACTGAAAGTTAATAAAGTCTAATAATTCAAACTAAAACACATTTACCTTTACTCTACCTCGATGTAAAAATGTAGGAAACAAAGCATGCTAAATTTCTAATGAACAATTGTCAGTATTATATGAATTATTGTTGATGATACTTCCCTTACAGTCTCAATCTTTCACTCCACACAAGTCCACCTTTTTTGATAATAGCTATTAGCTAGCTATCAGTTTGAGTGGCAAATGTCCCTTTTGCCGAAAGATGGTAATGATAAAAAATGTTAGTGCACTTACATAGTAATCATCATTGATTTGTACCATTGGTGCATTGACACATGCACCCAAACATTCAACTTCGGACAGGGTCCATTGACCATCTTTGCTTGTTTCTCCCACGCCAATGTTGAGTTTTTTTTTTAGGCATCCTAATACTTCGTCCGATCCTCTTAACCAGCATGGCGTTGTCGTACATACTTGTACATGGTATTTACCAGTGGGTTGTCTCATAAACATTGTGTAAAAAGTTGCCACCTCATACACTCTCATTTTTGGTAATTTTAAGATATCAGCCACTTTGTGCATTGCTGATATAGGCAGCCAGCCATGCTGTCTTTGAGCCAAATCTAACAAAGGTATCATAGCTGCTCGCTTGTGACCTTCTGGGTATATAGCCAATATAGCATCAATCCTCTAAAAGGTTTTTAAAAAAAGGTTAAAAATTGTATCCATCGTAGGTAAGATATTAAACTCAATTTACCTTTTTGTTTTCTTCATTAAATTCAAATTTGATTTCAAGATTATTTTCCTTGGTATCACGATGCTGTAATCAATTATGTTTATTTAATTTACAAGCAAGCAAAACATTTAACAATTTACTTGATTTTTGAACCTTAAAAATAATAATATACTAATTTTGTGATTTCAATAATCAATATTAAACAATAAATTTGTATAGGTAAATAAAGTTTACATAAATTAACTTTTTAAAATTGAGTAAAAATGATAATTGTGTAAAATTGATACAAATACTCATGTAAGTGTATGTTTCAAAGAAAACTAGTACTTGCTATGAAATGTGAGCGAATAAGATGAGAAAAACATAATATTATTATCTTGTTAACCTTCGGATGTATCCATTGCAAATTTTCATCTTTAGAGATTAGTTGACAATGAGTCCGAAAATTAATAATATTAAAAATTAATAACATGGATACATCAGAAGATTGTCAACTTAATAATATTTCAATCTATAAGAGTGCCAACTATTTTTTAGATGACAAGACCTCATTAAACTTGTCATTAGAGTAAATACCAAAATATATTATGAAAATTTAATGACATTCTGTCTCTTAAACTTACATTAAACATTGTATCGTGTCTTACTACAGCAGAAGTCTGGAAGGTTCTTGAGTTTGACAACTAAAAATTAAAAAAGAATTCAAATACATTTCAGGTATAATAACATAAACTAAAACTTACAAAAGATCTTGCAATTCTGTTTAAAGTTAGCATGATGAAACTTAATAATTCTTTTTTATTTATAAAGTTTTAGTAGTGTTCTCTTAACGTTAGAGAAAAAAGTTTTTAAATTAGGAAAAAAGTGTTCAATTCGATAATCTACAGTCGACACTTGGTATCAAAATTCAAGACCGAATAATATTATATCAGCTGTTTTTATAAATCATGACAACTTGATAACATTATCACTCGGATAAATCGTATAATAATAAAATGATATCGGAATTCCTAACAGCATTCAGCAACACTAATCTCTATCACAATAATAATAATCATTCTAAATTTTAATTCCCGATTAGTAAATAATATGTTAAGTTTTCTAGTTTTGTTATATTTTAATTCTACACATTTACAAACACTATAATTTGATTCATTTTTTAAGTACTGCAAAATATTCATACCTATTACATTTTATCAAACAATGAGGAACATGGATTCTAGTGAAAAATTAGAACAGGTATTTACATTTTTGTTGTTCAATTTTTACTTATTCAAGAAAATTAATAAGTTTATAAAATAACGTATATACTTTATACTATTACCATTTATCTGATTAAATATACATAGACAGTCCATGTGATGTTTAAAATTGATTGCTCATTAGTAAGAACCAAAGTATTTAGAACGTTTTTCCAATATTTATATTTCTATGTGCTATCTATGGGTATTTAATTAATATTCCTACCCATTGACTACTGATAATTAAATCATCATTAATGATAATATAAAACATTCAATAGCTATGATCATGCCACAATTATTCAGTGTAATTTGTAATTTGTTTATTAAAAGTGAAACTGGATAACATAACAGTTTCATACACAAGATCTTCCAAGAATGTGATGTGATTTTGGTACCAGAAAAAAGTAAAAGTACACATTTGATGTTTTCAAATTAATAGTATAAATTAATTTGGTGTTTATCTCATAGTATTATTGTATTTTAGAATGTTAATGATTAATACTTAATAATAGCATGTTTATTATGTAGGAACAAAATAATTTAGCATTATTCAAAGAACAAGTAAAACGCAGTAGTCAATTATCTGAAAAAATGGTTGATATTCTTACATCGTTTGAGAATCGTCTGGGTCATCTTCAACAAACTATATTACCAATATATAATGAAATGGAAAATTTACAACTAAAAAAAAATAGTATGCTTGCCACCATTACTGATTGTAACATATTTTTACAAATACTACACGTAAAACATTACATCTTTTTTTTTCATTCATAGATGTTGAAAAGACACTTTTTGAACTAGACAAAGTAATTAAATATCATGATGTATGTCCGCAAGTGGAATCTATTATATTATCTAGACCAAATGGGCAAGATGGATTAAATGAGTACTTAGATGCTATGGAAAGACTCTATGAAGCTAAAAACTATTTTGAAAAAAATAATCCCCAGAGCGTAGAATTGGAAAACGTAGTAAGTTAATTTTGTATTATAAATGAATCGATTAATTTTTAAATTTGTTCTTTATTATCAAGTTAACATTTTTACATAACATCATTTAAAATTTTATCAGTATTCTTTGATTGAAATAATTTATTTAATTATATCTAAAATTCAATTTAAACGTCCTGATGAAGTTCTAGGTAGTTCAAATTTTACTTTTAAACTAAAAAAAAGTCGTCTAAAATAAAATGTTTATTGAATCAGGCAACCATTTTACATATTTAATCAAATGGAATTTAAGATCACGTTACCCACCCATGTATTAAGGAGAAAAGTATAGGCAATTTTTAGAAAAATCTTAATTTATACCTTAAACTTATATTTAGTAATACAGTAATGATAATTCTTGATGTAATGATAATGGTCGTTATTTATTTGTCAGATTATCACAGTCATCTCTATACACAAAACTACAATTATTTTTCATCAAAAAAAATGTGCGCAAATCAAAGCCTAAGTGTTTTAAAAATTTTGTAAAATCAACAAATTTGTACAGTAATTAAAGAAAAACATTATCTGTGCCATTATTTTAAAATATACAGATAAGCAGTGCTATTCATAACAACAACGACTGGTGTTATGGATGGGCGTATGGTAAACTATGATGAGGGTACCTCTCTTGACAGTGGAAATTTCACATAAAATCGGTCGCTGTTCTTGTGTATAGCACCGCTAATTGTACATTTTAAAATCAATCATGTCTTTGCTTAAGTATTTTTAAATTCTCGATTACTCTATCCACTAATTTTTTAAATATACTATAAAACGTAAATTTTAAACATTCTCAAAAAGAAAAAAAATGTTATCAATTAAAAAATAGTGCCTAAGCACCATTTATATAAGTGTTATTTAGTTTTTGTTTTATTTCTTGGTGATGCTCTATAATATACATTTTTCTTTTTTAGTCTTCACTGTTCAAATCTGGCGGGGACACAATTCAAAGAGAATTTAAAGAACTACTTTTAAAACATAGTAAACATGTTCAACCTGCTATTCTTCTTGATATTGTTACTAATGATGATGGTAACTACAATAAATATCCCATGTATAACTGTTCAATTTTACCTAAAAAAATTTAGTTCTATTTTACAGAATTAGTGACTGATGATTCGTCTTCTGTAAGTTCTATAAGCCATTTTCCAGAAAACGTTTCTACGGATCTTATTCGTTTAGCTGACTGGTTAATTAGTCAGTCGCGTGATGAATACATGAATGTTTATGCGAGGGTTCGTGCAAATACTCTTACTAAATCTATGACTACTCTTAAAGAATATCAGAAAACTGGTAGTGCAGGCAGCACCTATATGGCAGCTTTAGGACAAACAGTTGGATCTCCTGCTGTGGTATGTTATACTTAAAATAATGTAATTTTTTTTTTATTAAATCATAAAACATTTGCATTACAAAAAAATACATATGAATTAAATAGATTTATCTATCTCCTAAAAGCAAATGCTTGTGTCGGAGATAGAGAGTTATACATATATTATATTTTTTTTAAAAAGCAACAAAATGAATTATATATTAATCTCTTAAGCTCTTTAGCTCGAAACAATATAATTTATTATTCTAAACTATTCCAACATATAATTTTTTTTTTTTTTTAACTTTTCCAATATTTATATACAGCCAAGTATTTACAAATTTCTTCGCATGTTTAGGCATTATACGTATACATTTTTTTAATTCACAGTCCAAAGAGTTCATCCGGCCGTCATCCATTCTTTAAGACGTTTATATTTAAAACTCGTTTTCCTGATCTCAGTTGCAGAGCTAACAGCGTTATCGATTTTATTGTATAATATATCACAACATTTATTAACGTCTTCGATATGGTATAAATTAGTCCATTGTTCGGATTCCAACTTAGTATATCCTGATTTATATTTTTACTTATTTTAAATATAATGTATGACTGATACTGTTTTCATAGTTTATGTTTAATAAAGATCAACAACATATTATATAATTCATTTAAAAAATAAAAATATTAAATAATTCACATAATACTAAAATACTTTATAAGGTTCTCACTAAATTTCGCAAGATGCATACCTCCAAACGGTAGGTCATTCATTAAATCATTTCTTTTAAGGGTGGATATCTTGAACAAAAAGTAATTAATTAAATACAGACATTTATTCTTTCAAGCAGCCTGGAAGTATCAATTTAATTTTTAACTAAATTTATTTTAAATGTGTTATAAAATATCTTCTTTCTATCCTCTAAACTTTGAAAATTTAGGCTTATAAATTAACTATGAAGAAGTCTGTCTAGACTCTTTCAGAATTTGACTCATTTGATTTGTTGTATATTCCCAATTTTTAATTTCAAAATATTATTTTTAGAAATCAAAGTTTCCACATAGACCTGAAGTGACAGTCACTAGAAAAACTTCAAAGCGTATCCAACATGTGTAAGTCACTAAATTGTATAGTTATTAGTCTTTAAAGTATTAATTAACTATAATAATATTCTTGTGTATTTTTTATAATTATTAATGATTTTTTCATTATAATTTTAAGCTTTGAAAGAAAGGCCAATCGAATGTTAATGAAAGCATCTCAAACCATTGGACAGTCAACTGGTCTCAATTTAGGAAACAGACGACCTGCTCTTCTTGGTAAGTCAAAAAAAATTGTAAAAAAAAGGATTTATTTGGATTTATATTTAATTGAAATAAAATTTGACAGAAAATCGAGAAGATGTAGTAGATGAACAAGAAATGGAAAATTATCTAGTTTCAGTGATTGCCTTACAAAGGCTTATGCAAGCAGAACTTTCTCTTATGGTTGGTATAATACCTATCAAACATCACCACCAAGTGTTTCAAATTATCATACAAGAAAGTCTATCCAATATTGTTCATGAAGGAGAAGTAATAAATATTATTAAAATCTTTGTATTTGACCAAATTTTATATTTTAAAAATGTTTAAACAGAATATATCAGCTAGAGCTAAACGTTGTATACATAGAAAAGAATTCTCCAATGTGTTTGTTATGTTTCCAATCTTAAAGCATTTGGCTGCTATGAAGACTGATTTTGAACGTACAATGGAAGGATGTGATCCGATTATTCGAGGACAATATTCCACAATTCTCAATACTCTTCATTCAACAGTAAATACTTATGTCATTATTAGTGATGCTTAAAAAAAATGTTTGAAAACATAATGGTACACATATATTTTTCATCTTATTATAAAACCAAAAAGTGTTAATTAAATATTGTATTTTACCCTAAGTTTATAGTTATATTCAAATTAAAAAAACAACTGGCCAAATTTGTATGCTTTTGTTAGTTATAAATCGTTTAGTTTGTCATTTTAAAGTGTTGGTAATACGTGAGTTGCTGTCTTTAAGAAAAATATATTTAAGCATTACCCTAGTGATTAATATTTTAAATTAATTAATGGTGTTTATTTGTTGTAGGGAGTTCGTACACTAGACGAAATTATTGAAAGTGTTAGAACCGACACTTCTATGGGGTTGCCGCGTGATGGCACTGTTTACCAGTTAACTAGTGACGTTGTAGTGCTTATGGAACATCTTCTTGAATATATAGATAGTGTTGGTCCTCTTTTAGCTCAAGTTCCAATTTACAATAACATGGTACCTCATATTCTACCTGTAGCAGACAAATATAAATTTCTCTTGGGACTTTATATCAGTAAGCTATTCTATGTTGACTCTCATGAGTAAAATTTAATACCTTTATATTCTATATACTAAATCTTTCAAATAGCTGTCAACACTAAAGTGAACATTATTGTGATTGTGTTTTTAAGTTGACAAAACTAATTTTGCTAGTAGATTTTAAAAATAAATAAGTTATAAATCAGTTATTTTAATAGATTTACCTAATGTATAAGACTAATACTAATGTGTATTTTACTAGTTACAAGGTATACTTGGTATGAGTTTCTTGAAAATATAACATTTTTTTATTTTTTATTTTTTGCTTTCAGAAAAAGTGTTATCTCAACTAAATCTAATGCTCGTGAACCGAAGTGATTCTTACAACGAGATAGGCGTTAAATATTTGTTTAGACTGAATAATTGTCATTATGTGATCAAAGCATTACAACGGTCAGCTCTACTCGATATTGTTTCACTTACTGAACCAGAGTGTGAGAACACTTATCTCGAAATGATAGCAGCACATAAAAAATCATACCAACAATGGTAATTTTTTTTTATTAAAACAATAATTTGTTTATTCTTCAATAAATAACATATGATATACTATATTTCAGTTGGAGTAAAATTAATAGTTTCATAGCCAATTTAGATGATATACAAGTAGTAAATGGTAAACTTAAGGACAAAGATCGTAACATAATAAAAGAACGATTTTCTGTAAGTTTCTAATTTTCTTTTGTTATTATTTTAACTTATTAAACATTGATTTGTTAAGAGGCCGCTATATAACCAATTTTCTAGCGTTAAAACATACCTACACAGAATGCGTTTTACTCCCTCTGTGATGATTTTAGAGCAAAAATACCCATAATGAAAATGATAGATGACAACATTTTGGAGTCAATGTCGTATCTTTTTTTTTATAAACCTAATGTTTAACTTAATATTTAACATTTAAAATCATATTTTTTTACTTTTTAAAATATCTATCAACTTTTTTAACATTATCATTTTCAAAATTGGATATGACATTGTCCTTGAAATATTGTTATTCGATTTTAGAACAGGGGCTTTTACCATAAAATCACTATGAACTGAGTAAAACACATTCTGTGTAGCTATGTTTGGATGAAAAAAATGTTTAAATCGCTGTCAAGAATGCTGTGATAATCCGATTCAAAAATTTAATTTGCAAGACTTAAATTAATTAAGATTATGTAATTATATGTATAAAAGACTAGTCAATTTTTAATAAATATAATTTAAAAAATAGGGTTTTAATAAGGAAGTTGAAGAAATTCTTAAACTTCAAAGAGGCTATACTATACCAGACATTGAACTACGAGAAGGATTAAAGCGTGACAACAAAGAGTATATTTTGCCTAAATACAGCGCATTTTATGACAAGTAATGAAATGTATTCTATTTATTTAATGTAGTATTTCTGTTACTTTGTAGTACTAAGTCAAAATAAAAGACAAATTATTTTAAAATGTATTAATATTCTTGTATCAAATGTTAATAAGGGCCAATCTCAGTTTTTATAACTTTTTTCGGCGAATGACCTTAAATGTTTTTGTTTTCCATTAGGCTGTATGTTAATTTTGTAGACAACTTTTTATACATTTTTTAATTTTTGTTCTGGGAGTCATTTTTTTATACAAATTGAATAGTGTTTTAATTTTTATGTTTAGCTATCTAACACTATATTGCAAAAAAAACTATTGGCACTTGATTAAAGACGTACATTTAAAGCATTTATAATGAATAATATCTGTTTTTTTTATTTAAGGTTTTCACAATCATCATTTACTAAAAATCCAGAAAAGTATGTCAAGTATACTCCAGCTCAAGTGTCAGCGATGCTTGACAGATTCTTTGACGTGGCAGCCTAAGTTTATTTAGTATTTAAACATTTAAAAATATTTAAATTATTAATGCTATTACTTAAAGCATTATTTATTATTGTTTACAAAAGTTTGTATTTTTATATACCTAACTGCATTGATGTATCATGTATCAATTACAGATTAAATCAATTTACTTATTTATGTTTTTTAATGTATTAGTTTTATAACATATTTATTACTGACCTTATAATTGGCAAGTGTACTACTTACCATTTGCTTCTTTATTAGTGTTTATTGTATATTTTTTATTAATATGAAATGTTGATAAATAAACAATAATAACTATCCACGGTCAATAAAAAATATGTTAAAAAAACATGTTGTAACTAAAGTTTGTTGAAGTGGACAAATTTAAAATTATATTTAATGTGGCATTACTCTCGAACGCGCCTTCGCTGCCAGGAATGACATGCTTTGGTTATTGCGCACTACCTTTCTTAAATGGGATAGAGTATAGGTACATAAAAGATGTGGTGTGAGGAATTAAGATAATTAATTTAGGCTAATTACGCTTAAAATGTTGTAAATTTATAGTTGATTCTTTTAAAGTAACTGAATTAAATCTAGTCGAATAATTACACTAATCATGTAAATTATAATATTAATAAATCTTAAAAGGCATTTCATCAGTATTATAATATTAGTCTTTAGTGTCATAGATATAGTATGAATATTATATCATATTAAACGAACAGTAATTAGTAATAAGAACTAAATCTGGAAATTCTAAGTTTATGGTATGAATTGAGTGCAACAATGTAAATAAATAACTACTATAAAAAAATTAATAATTAATATCTCAATTATTCTCACTCCTCTGTATTCTGTTATTTCTGTATAATATAGTGTAATGACGTGTGTGTCGTGTGATAATTTATCTCATATCTGTAATCTGTATAATACATTGAGTATCGTGTAATAATATATTGCTTTGCTACAACTACGGTAATAGATAATATAATATATCGGTTATATTTATCCATAACCATGGCTACAAATAGCCATTGATCATAGATGTATATAATTAACTAGATTGCTAACTGTACATGCCACCAATAGAGAAGATTGAAGCAGCTACTTTCCGCCATTTCGGAGGGAATTAAAACTTATCACGCGAGAATAATATATGTTTATAACAATCATATATATATATATATATAATATTGATAGAATAATATATACAGATATATATTATATGCATTTATAACACACATAAATTCCACCAGAATGGCGGACCGTCGGCTTTAATTCTTATTGCTAGTTAGCAATCTAGTTTATTATATATATATCTGTGCCATTAATTAATCTATGAACCAGCAATACCAGATGATTTTTTCGAAAACATAATGTTTAGTACCCCTTGTTTCTTATCACCGCCAGAATTTTGTTTATCAATATTTGAAAAGCTATTTGTTAATAATTGTTAATTTTATTTTAAAATATTACTTAAGCACCTAGCTAACCGTGTTCTTCTATTTACTTTTAGGTTATTGTTATATTAATGTTACTACCTACTAGGTAGTTATAGAATCAATTAAAGTAATTTCTATATTGTATTTTTTATTCATTGAAATTAGACAGACCTTATGGACTTAATACAAAATTATGGAGAGAGTGACGACGAAGACAAGTAAATAACTACTACTAAACTACACTTAGCTTCGAATTTTGAAATCTATAATAACATTTATTTTACACTTGAAAAGTACATTTATATTTTGATTTTTTAATTAGAAATTCTGAGTCCAAGTTACCCGTACCCAAAACTGTTGTTTCAATGTTTGATGACAGAGAATTCCATCCAAAGCCAATTAATGATCAGAATCTTCATCAAGGAAGGGCTCGTATGTTTGAACATGAACGTGGCAATTGGGCTACTTTTGTTTATATACCTTGTGAGTAGGTAAAAAAATAATTAAAATATTTTTGTTGTATTTTCAAAATAATATATATTTCCAATTATTTTTTTCAGGCTTTACGGGATTGCTAGTGGGGGGTTTGGACCACAATTATATTACAGGGGCGTATTTAGATATTTTTTTGGGGGGGTGGGGGCTGAGGTACTAACTCCTAATAAAAACTTGATAATATTAGACTTCTACAATTCACATCCTACAAGCCCATAGGCAGACTAAAAAAAATTGGGGGCTGGAGTCCCCTCAGCCGCCCTCATAAATACGCTCCTGATATTACTACTAGATAGCTGCCTTCCTATACCTGCAATATACAATTTTTTTGGTAAAATTTTATATAATAACTGTATTAAAAAAGTATATATCTTTCTATAATAAATTAGGACATTTTCCCCAACTTCAAAATAAATATTGAATCAGTGTAATATATCAGTGGTTCTGACAATCTATTATCAGTATTTATCTCTTCCCATCAGCTGCTGTAGTGTAACCTTACAGTGGTGCTGGGACATTCACAGCACTGCTGGCGGGGTATACTAATAGCATACAGATCCAATATAGAAATCTAAGCACCCGGTGATGGAGACATAATGCATATCTATATAATTTATATTGATTTACTTTTAATAGGTCCAGATTTGGATTTAGTGGAGATAATTCAAGAAAAATTGAATGAATTTGGCCTAGAAATAATTAATAATCCACATGTCAGTCTTACACGAACAATTGTTTTGCAATTCCATTGGATTAATCGTTTTATTAGCGATTTGATATCAAAACTTAAGTCAATTGAAAAGTAATAGTTTATTACCTTATTCTAATAATTTCAAGTCTTTATTTAACAATTGAAGCTGTTTATTTTTTTAAGAGCTTATTGCACTGTACAACCATTTTAAATAAAATATTTCAATTGTTTTCATTAGGATATAATATTAATGTGTTGGTAATAGAGGCATTAGGGCTTATTTGAGACAACTTGATAGTAAAATTAAAAATTTATACTGAATCTGAAATGTCATTTTTCTAGGTAAATTTATATTATATATGCTCTATAACTTTTTTAAAAATAGTTGAAAATGTTCCAAATTTATACAAATTGTTCTTCAAACATAGTACTATCGATAAACATTAACAAACCAAAAAAATATCATAAACCCTTTCCCTTAGAAGGGATAGAATTTTTTTCTTTATTTCACTTTTTCAAGCAAAGTTTTAGAGATTTAGATCTGAAAATTAGACTGAAGGTAGATCTAAAATGGATCTATAACATACAATTTTCTCATAAATCTGTAGTCAATTTTTTTATTAAGGAAAAACACCAAAAATAGGGTAAATTTACACTTTGGCCTTAGTTAGTTTCTAGGTTGCTATGTGCGAGTGAACCAACAGTCAATAAGTAATGAAAATATTTTTATTATATTGTTAATTACGATATATGGGTAACTATGACAGTACATTTTTATAGACAGACGATCAACCCTGCACAAGACTAAATATTAAATTTATTACATTATTGCTGGTCCCACAATCTCTTCTAAACCGCTATAACTGGTTTGAACATACTATCCACAGATTTGCATCAAAGCGTTTTTTTTAAAAGTTATTTTATCACTTTCAGTTATAATATAATCTGTAGACCTGTAACCTCTCCGCCCCCACCATGCCCTGACCCCACTGTACTGCCTTTTTTACATTTGATATAGCTTAATAAAAATCTAATAAAATTCATTAAACTTTGATGTATAACATTTATATTTAACATTAAATTAAGTATTGATTTTAACCAGTTGAAATTAAACTTGATTTTCTCAAAACAGTTTTTGGCAATCACATCTTTATAAAATAAATGGCTTCAGTTACAATGTTGTAGCTTAAATATACAAAAATTTAATTTTCATTATATCTGTAATTATGTATTTTAGATTTACCATTACCTTTGGCGAATTAGAAGTATTTTGTAATGACAATTGTACCCGCACTTTTGTTGGTTTTCTTGCTCAACCTCCAGAATTGTTATTACAATGTGTAGAACAACTTGATGGTGTATTATCAAATTATAATTTACCTAAATATTATGAAGTAAGTATAATATTTCATATAATTTTTAATATAATAATTATATGTTACGAATAACATTATGTATTATTTTTTAAAGGATCCTAAGTTTCACTTAAGTGTTGCATGGTGTTTAGGAGATCAGTCTAACCATTTACGAACCAGATTAAAAAATATAGCATTTGAATTTGATGTATGCCGTATGCTTAGAGTAGACAAATTAATGTGTAAAACAGGCAATAAAATATTTCATTTTGACCTTGTTTAATTTGTTTGTAATATATATATAAATATATATAATTAAGTTTTCCAATTTTTCCTATCTAACCTATCCTATCTCTCAAGTTGGACCAAATTACACACAGTGTAAACAATTTCATCAAGATCAGTTAAGTAGTTTCGTAGTTCATCGCTACCAAACATTGTGACTTGAGATTTTTATATATATAACGATTACAATTAAAAATGAAAAACTTATGTGTAATTACATCAACTTGCATAAAAACTGTAAATCATTATTATATTCAATATATAATGGTATTTAAAAAAATTAAATTTGAACTTCGTATTGTTTTTTATTTTAAGAGAGCGCTTTATTCTGTGCTAAAAATAATCATGTTAGGCACATAATGTGAGCAACAGATGAGAAATAAATTTAATTTTTATTAAATGAAATACTTTCAGTAATTACAGACCTTTATGTAACAGAAATTGTTTATATTCAAACTAATACATTTAAATGTATAATAATTTTTGAAAACCATTTTTAAAATTATTATTTTTGTCAATTTGCTTTTGTTTATAACAAACTAACAAAAATAAGTATATAACTTATCATGTAATTTGTTGTGGCCGAGGTCTTAAAATAAGTTTGCCGGAGTCATCACAGGACATATTGAAGTCTGAAAGTACATGCCTTGCTCTTGATGTTATAATTGATGTGGCTATTACTTTTTTGTGAATTCCAGTCAAGAGTAATATCACTAAACAAATAGTCAAAACATAGAAATTTTATATCAATTAACAAGTTAACTGTTCTTACTTAATGTTATTGATGATATAGTAAATAATAAATGGTTGTAAAGTGATTGAACAAAAGATACTTTTGCTGTTTGTGGGTCTGTAAGCCAATAATATGCTCCAATTGATGCACTTATTGTTGAAATGGCTAAAATTGCTGTTTAAAAAAAAATACAATACATCAATCAAATTATAATTTGTTTTATAAACATGCAATGAAAATTATATATTGCTTACTCCGCCATCGATTAGTAATTGGTTTAATAGAAGCAATTACTTCAGTTAGTCTCCTCTCGAAAGCCTTAAGATCTATAACATTGATGACTTATATTATTAATAAATCAATAAAATAGCTGTCAAAAAAATATAGTTTCAGTATAAAGTAGTTCCAGAACTAAATTTTAAAGAAACAGTTGTAGTTCAAATAAAAATTAAGTCGTTGGGCAAGTACACGTTAAAAATTTACAATAAAATAACTAAAATTTAAAATATTTACTAAAATTATAGTATTATGTAATTTAAAAAGCATTTTTCTTAGAAAATATTTTTAACCATTAGAATGTCGAATAATCTCTTATTCTAAAGCTAGTATTTTAGTTTTTTATTAATACTATAATACTAATAAAACTACCATCGCATGCAGTCTGTTCAAATGACATTATAATTATTATTCAGTCTTGGTAATTTCTTGAATAAAATTTATTAGTTTCCGTACTAATTTAAAAACTATTAAACTAGTTATTTTTTTTAATAGTCCACTGCTCTTTTGGCTTTTACAGTTTACACTTTTACAATGTTTTGTTTTGATTATATTCGTTTCGTTATCAGTCACTTAGTTTACTATCACCACGAATTAAGATAACCGGATCACAAAATAACCAGAAGAGACACTCAAGAACATAGATACATATAATAAACTAGATTGCTAACTGTACATGCCACCAATAGAGCAAATTGAAGCAGCCACTTTCCGCCGTCTTGGTGGGAATTAGAACCTTATCACGTGAGAATAATATATGTTTATAACAATCACAGATTTATTTATATAATATTGATATAATAATATATACAGATATATATATAATATGCATTGATAACACACATAAACCCCACCAGAATGGTGGACCGTCGGCTTCAATTCTTATCGCTAGTTAGCAATCTAGTTTATTATATATATATCTATGCTAGGTTATAATAACTTGGCAAAAAAAAAACAACCACGAAGGCGGGATAATGCGGAGCGTTGGCATCAGTGTTACCGTCATAACCATAGTGACATCGTTTACTAATTGATTACTTTATTATGTACGTAATATGTTTAATCAATGATAGTGGTAACATGGAAACTTGTTATCACCCGGAAGGTGGGAACCTATGGCCGAATGTCATTTATCAACACACATATATATATCTGTGTTTATCAATGACTTATGAGTGAATCATCCGTGGTGTTTATTGGTTATGTCCATGTTTTTATTTTTCCGCTTTATAAATAATACGAGTAAATTCTTATTGTTTAATATTTTGTAATAGTCTTGTATAACTGACTTTAATCATCATGTCCGTAAGTAATATTTTTTGTAATAAGTTTATTGGTAATTTAACCAGTTAAGGTTGCATGCGGCTTTTTGTAATTTGTCTTGCATTTTTCCCTTACACTTAATAGTTAAAATAAAAGGTATATTATGGTTATAATATAAAGGTATATATGGTTTTTAATTTTCTTTTTGACAATGCATATTTGCATTAGTACATTACTAGGGCTAAATAATAATATTATCAAAATAAAAACCCTCCTTTTTGTTCCAAGTAAAAAAAATATATTCTTTTGACTTTTAGCGCTATTAACTGTTAAGTTGTGAATATTGTATTAAGCTAAGCTAAGTTAAGTAAACTTAAATATTGTGCCTGAATATTTTTACAGGGATGTATAATTGTTAGTAATGTTTGTATCTTTTAGCATGTGATGAACAATATAAAATAAATAAATATTTAAGTTAATGTAAAAATGTTCTCGTCCAGTAAATAATTATAATATTGAGTAATATTTTTAGTTTACTTAACTTAGCTTAATACACATAGCAGAGATATGAAGTAAGTGATAACCAGATTATACAACTCGGCTACCACGGTGACTTTTTACTATATTTTTACCTAAAAAAAGTTTTCTAGAGGTGTGGCTAACGGATCACTCCCTCATCAAGCCATTCAAGCTATACTACTTACTTATTATTATTATTATTATTATTATTATTATTAACACATTTACTTATTATACTTAACATATATACTGTATAGATTGTAAATATTATCTTAAATAAAAATAAAAAAAATAAAAAAGTTTACTTCTAATTTGGATTTATAACTCCACTTTACTTATCATTATAACATAATCTTTACAAAAATATAATTTGCATAACATTTCTGATATTTTAACACATAGTAGATAAAAATCGGTTCTGTAGTTGTTAGTTAGAGAACTGTTTTGAAAACAACAAAATTTACACAGTTAAAATTGGTAAACTTTGCTTCGAGATATTATACACTGGTCACAGCGCGTCCTAATTTTTTATATTTAACTCGCGTCACAGCCATGGCACTGGATAATTATTTTTTGAGGTATTAACATGTTGAAAAAATTCTAAAATTTGTAAAAGCTACCTATCTTTAAAGAGTGTTTGTTGTTTATTTATTTAGGCAGCTGCGGTAGCAAAAGTTCAAGAAGTGCGAGAAATATCTCGAGTAGAAAGGATTGGTGCACATTCTCACATACGAGGTCTTGGGCTTGATGACAATAGGGAACCCAGAAATGTATCACAAGGCTTAGTAGGTCAATTAAAAGCTCGTAAAGCTATGGGTGTTGTTTTGGATATGATAAAAGAAGAAAAGATTGCTGGTAGATCAGTTTTACTCGCTGGAGAACCAGGCACAGGTATTTTTATTCAGTATATAATACATTTTTGCGACTAGATTTAAATTTTTTCAACCATATAATTAAATCTCTTTCTTTACCATATCCCAAAAAAATGGGGTTGGTCAGCCAAATCTGCTCTCTTCTTAAATATATCCTATCATCGTTCTTAATTCATTCTACATATCCTCCATATCATATTTTATCACATACACCTACTTCTTTGGTTCCACTAACTTTGGTTGTTAATAATAAACTAATTATTTTATCTTGTACTCTATAATATTTTCATTATTCAGGGAAAACAGCAATTGCTATGGCATTGGCACAAGCTTTAGGCTCAGATACACCATTTACATGCATGTCAGGTTCTGAAATATATAGTCTGGAAATGAGCAAAACTGAAGCGCTGACTCAAGCCATTCGTAAATCTATAGGTGTTCGAATAAAGTAAATTAATTTGTATTATAATATTGTACATTATACAATTATTATTTGTTTTTCTATTACCTATCTGTTATATTTTAGAGAGGAAAGTGAAATTATCGAAGGTGAAGTAGTGGAATTTCAAATAGAAAGACCCGTCACGGGAACAGGATCAAAAGTAGGAAAATTAACCATGAGAACTACAGATATGGAAACAGTTTACGATCTTGGAAATAAAATGATTGAAGCATTGTTAAAAGAAAAAGTAACATTTATTGTTTTTATTTATTAGTATTTTGTCGTGTATACTCTATGTTATATTTGTGATACAAAAGGTTTTGGCTGGTGACGTTGTTACTATTGACGTGGCTAGTGGAAAAGTCAACAAAATCGGAAGATCATTTACTAGATCCAGAGATTATGATGCATCTGGTCCACAAACCAGGTATTATTTTGCATTTCATTTACTGTTCTATAAAACACAGCTAATAATTGTATATTATTTCTTTACAGATTTGTACAATGTCCCGAAGGAGAACTTCAGAAACGCAAAGAAGTTGTACATACAGTTACATTACATGAGATTGATGTAATAAATTCAAGAACACATGGATTCTTAGCATTATTTTCCGGTATAATGATAACTTTACTAACAAATGTTTATTTATTTGGTCAGAACTTTTGTGTGTAATATGATATGTCCAAAACTATCTAGTAATTAGGTAGTTTTTTAGGTTATAGTCTAAAAAAATTTGTTCGACTAAAGTAGTGTCTCGCTAACCCAGACTTTTTAGGACCAAACTCCGCCCGAATCACCAAAAGTTTGGATTAAACGGAATGAGCTTTAAAATGTCTGTAAAATAAGTTTGAGACAGTTAAACTACTAAAATCAAATTTTCATCATAATTTTTCAGTTTCAGTACAATTTTGTTGGACTAACTTTTTTCTGTTTACACTCATCGGCATCTAGCAGTCAATTTCTGGTTAAAATAATTTTTAGACATCTCTATTATCTGTAATACAAAATTCGAACACTGAACAAACACCTAATTATGTGTATCCGTAGGGACGTATAGTATTATAATAATTAGATCAATTTTATCAAATCTATGATTTTATAATATTTTACAATAATTTTTAAACAGTCTAATATTAATTGATTCAATATTGTTTATTATTGCATACCATATTGATATTTTAAATTATACATCATTGAATTTATAAAAATCTCTGAAACAATAAAGTAAACAATTTGAAAACTTAAATAATTTTCAAGTTTTGAGTGAAGTTTTTGAAAATTATTTTAGTTTTTTAGGGTTAAGAAGACGTTATACCATTTAAAAATTATTGTAAAAAATGGGTTTATGGTAAAGCGTGTAGGTCAAAGCGACTTGGTCATAGAGTAAAAATGTTGGTGCCGTTAAAAAGAGGAGAACTTTAACTAGGTTCTCTCGTCGGTTTTTATGGAAAACTTAAATTTTACCTAAAATACAAGCACTTAAAAAAGTTTAAAATATGTCAGAATTAAAATATAAATTGTGAATGTTGGGTTCATGTTATCAAAAAAAGCCGACGAGAGAACCTAGATAAAGTTCTGATTATTTTAAATATGTAAAAAAAAATGGTCTATGATCGTTATTTAGTTGATAAGAGAGAATATGCGTACCAGTTTAGATGAAATTTTTTTTTAAATCTCTGTCAAGGATGCTGTGAGATTTTGAAAAATAAATAAACTACCAAAAAAGAGTCAAGATTACATAACTAATAATTAAACATCACAGTTTAGCATTTAAATTACGATTTTACAAAAAATTGCCTATACCTAACTCCTTAATAAATAGGGGATATAACGTCATCTTAAGGGTTACAAAACATTAATTAAATAATAATTTATTGAAAAGATAAATGAAGAGTGAATTTGTCAAATGTTCCAAATGCCAAAGTATAAAAATTGAATTTTATAATTTGATTTGTATTTTATTCATTACCGGAAACACAAACATGTTTTTAAATTTTAAATATGATTGTTTTTTTTTTAAATAATTATTTCTTACTTGAAAAATTTACAAAATTGTTTCTGGTAATGAATAAAATACAAATCAAATTATAAAGTTCAATTTTTATACTTTAGCACATAGAACGTTTGACTAATTTACTCTTCAAATACGTATAACACTTGGCAATTATCCATTAAACACTGAAGAGTTTGTGCTGTAGCATGTGTCATGAAAATGTTGCCATTCAACTCAAAGAGAATTGCGCAGTTGCAAGCTTGTAATAACAATAAAGCGCACTAGGGACATACTTTACTCCTATGTGATATTTAAATAAAAATATTATTTTTATTTAATTTTTACATATTTTTCAGGTGATACTGGAGAAATTAAATCTGAAGTCAGAGATCAAATAAATTGTAAAGTCAGTGAATGGCGAGAAGAAGGCAAAGCTGAATTATTGGCCGGCGTTCTTTTCATTGACGAAGTAAATAAAGCACTATATTTTAAAATAAATGTAAAAAGTAACTAGAAGTGGGATCTAAGAATAGTGATGTCGATGGATGTAGTCACAGGACTGTAGGAACTATTTTAACTACAACTGTTAAAATCTCTTTTTAAACGCTTTGATGCAAATCTGTAGGTATGTTTTAGGTATGTTTAGAGTCTGTTGATATTAATTTGTTGTCGTTATATATCGTATTAATAATATAATAAAAATATTATTTCTTTTCATCTTACTCATTGACTGTTGATTTATTCAAACATAGCAACTTGGAAGTTTAATACACTCAAAAGGTATTTTTCTCGTTTTTAATTTTTTTTTTGGCCCAATAAATTACCTTTCAGGTATTATTTCTGATTTATCAACTTACTGTATGTAAATTTAACATTCTAATGTTAAAAATGTACACAGCTTTAATTTTGATTTTACGTAGCACGTTATAACTTTTCGAAAAACAGACAATTAGTTAAAATTTTAATAAAATATTTTGGTTGGTTTATTTACATGATTATATATTTTACAACTGATTAAAACTATATAATATTTATTAATAGTGAATAGTTCTTATTTACGGTTTTGCATCAAAACATTTATTTGAAAGTGATTGTATTACTTTCAGTTAATTTGTTATTGATTATATATTACTTATTATTATTATTATTATTATTATATTAAAAGTGTAAAAAGTATTTATACACCATATTATTTTTTTCTAAATAATTATTTACTTTTATGATATTTAACTCTTCTTTCTATAAAGTAACAATTGTACATTCTATATTTTGAAGTAATTCCTAAATATAATAAAAATAAAAGAATTTAGATAAATGAACAAATGTTAATTTACAGAAAAAGTTATAAATCATGGAAGAAATTAAATATTTTTAATAAAAATAGAGTGTATGAATACTTTTTACTTCACTGTATAATGTATATTTGTATAAGTATAATACAATAATAATATTACTGAATAATATATAATTAAATATATGTATATATCCGTAATTTTTTTTTTTTTTAGTTGTAAAAAATATTTCTCTAAATTTTTTTGGCTTTTTCTCTCTTTGTCTCGCTATTTTAAAAAGAAGCCTTTACTTAAGGCTTGTCCATCCCAGACATAAAATATCTTTCGAGCAGATTCACAGCTGGATCTCAACAAAATTTCAAAAATTCTTTGTTTAAAAAACTGTAGCCAAAAGTGTAAATAAACTTATTTACGTTATTCTAGAGCTTATTTGTATTTTTTCAATAACAATTAAACCATTTATAAATAGGCCGAAACAAAGTCTATGAATTAATGTATGTTTTAAGTTAAAATAAGGCCATCAAAAAGGTCTGTGTGTGCTCATATTGTGACCATGTTTTTTACGACAATTCTTTAATTTATAAGATATTCTAAAATTCAGTTCAGGATTTGGATTTTAAAAAAAATTTAAAGGATTATTTTTTTACAGTTTGAAGTCTTTTGGGAGGCTTTGACTACGGTTTTCTAAAAAAAAAAAAAACCATCATAATATATAATTTTTTTTTTAGGTACATATGTTGGACATTGAGTGTTTTTCATTTTTAAACAGAGCTCTTGAAAATGAAATCGCTCCCATAGTAATTACAGCAACTAACCGTGGAGTAACTAATATTCGTGGTACAAATTATAAATCCCCACATGGTGTGCCACTTGATTTGCTTGATCGTATGGTTATTATTATGACACAACCATACTCTGAACCAGAACTAGAACAGATTTTAAGAATAAGGTTTGTATGAAGTTTTTCATTCTAATTATGTTAAAAAATCATTTTCACTGATTACCTGTTTTTAAAAAAAAATATGATTATAGAGCCGAAGAAGAAGATTGTGAAATATCTAAAGATGCATTAGCCATTCTAGCCAAAATTAGCAAGTCTACATCACTGAGATATGGCATTCAATTAATCACCACAGCACATTTGGTTTGTAGAAAACGTAAGGCTACTGAAGTGACAGTGGATGACGTAAAAAAAGTGTATAGACTATTCTTAGATGAAGAGCGCTCTACTCAGCTTATGAAAGAATACCAAAAGGAGTATATGTTTGATCATTATGCAATGGGAGGTTAGTATTACATATGTACATTGTAATGTTATTGATGTTCATTGATTTTTTTTAAATTTGAAAATAGATGCTGAAGAAGAAGAAGACAGAGAAAATAAAGAGGACTCTGATGCTATGGAAGTTCAAAACAACAGTTCGTCTTGAGCATCTTTATCGTAATAATAAATGTATGATCTCTCTCTCTCAAAAAAAAAAAAATTTTAAAAAATTAAATGTAAAAAAACTCCATTTCAAATAACTTAATCTCTGATGTTATTCTCTGAATGTCTAATTTTTATTTTTTTTTTATTTTTATAATAAAACATTGATTGGACAGTTATGTGATTTTTATGGTAAATTATTCTGATACTAATTACAGCAAGTTAAGGACTATATATTTTTAAAGGGCTTCTACATCTGCATATATTTGGTCGGAAATAACTCATTATAATTTTAATTGTTCTCTAGAATATATAACCTGACAATAGTTTTAAATACAGATATAGATTTTTCAATATTTAATTATTGCGCATCGATCAAAGTACAATTTTCATTTTCATTTAAAATATATTGTAAAAAAAAAAAACTTTTATTTTTCAAATAGAATAATTTATTAATAAATTATAAATATCTTTAAAATTGTGCCACGTTTGATACTTTGTAAATGTTACGAATAATTGAAATGTTTTTTTCAAACTTAAATTAGTTTTTTTAGGAATGTACTGTTTGAAGTAAAAACATGTATTTGTACAAAAACAGGGCATGTATAATGCATTTAATCATGTATTTAAAAAAAAATTAAATAACAAAATATATACCTTATGCTGTGGTAATGTATAAGTTTAAAATTTTTAGCTTAGTTTGTTTAGTTTTATCTAAAAATTGTCTATATTATGTACCTTAATAAATTCTATTGTAGGGGGCCACTAAATAGATTTAAAATGTGTACACCTAATACTCATATTTTATAATTACTCTTCATGTTATTATAACAATATAATATAATACTATTCAGTTTAAGCAGCGGATTCAATTTTTCTATTTAATAAACTCTGACTAAAATCCATTAAATAGTTTATTAAGGGGCAAACATTTTTCTAGCAGATTTTAGTTGTTTGATTCAAGGTCTATTAATTTAAAACACAGCTAGCAATTTAAAAAATATATATAACGATAATTTAATAGTAGAATAATACCAAAATAAGAGAATAGTACAGGAATTGCAGACGATGTGTCTAGAGTAAGATAATGCCAGAATAATCCTAGAATGAAAGTTATGAATAAAACAAGAAATTTTAATTTTAATTTAAAAATTTTAATGTTGGTTGGTGAAATTACTCAAATATAAGTTACATAAGTGGCCTGTGTAGAGATTAATAAAGAAACCTCAGAAAGGTTAGAAATCCATTTATATTCTTGGTTAAAATGACGTTGCCCTAATTTTCTACCTTAAACCTGACTATACGGAATGCGTCTTACTCTGACCATGATGGTTTAAAAAAATAATAAAATGCCTTTTTTTCAACATCAAGTATTAACATTGACTGTAAAATGTATGACCAATGGTATTAAGTTAAAACATTGATTAAAAAAAGGATATGTCGTTGTCCTCAAAAATGTTATAATTTGTTTTATTCTGTAATAGGTATTTTTGCTCTAATACTATCAGAGACCGAGTACTCTAAAGCTCATATTATTGCATTAAGCTTATACATGTTGCCTATACATTACTCCTTATTAAATTCCCTACTAATTACATCCTTTTTATTGGAGGAGTTTGAAAATCATATAGTAAAAAACTGACATTAGGATAATGATGCAAACTTGATGGAAGAGGAATAAACGACGTAGAAGGTATGTATTTTAAAATTAAGGGGATTACTAGCGGTCTGTTCTTAAGGAGTTTACTTATTAGTATAGACAATATTTAAACAAAACTTCAAATACATAAAATGGTCCATTTCAATTCTGTAAACAGATTCGAGTTCTTTGTCTTTATTACGATGTACCTATAATAACAAGATTATAAGTTATAAACACATATTATTGATGTGATAAACGTTATAACATTTATAAATTCTCATCGAAGCGTTTTTTAAAGTGATTTGATCACTCAGCTATATTTATATTTTCTAAAACTTCCCGACTTAACTATGCTCCGTATCTTCATTATGTTCTTATCCTTTTATATAATATGTGCCGCCTTTTTTTATAGTAATTATTGTACCTACCCAGTACCCGGAAATGCACACATTTACACGTTATTACTGAGATAACTTGGTAATCTCCAAATTTAAATAACGTTTTAAAAAATTCAAATCTGTGTTTTGAATATTATGATTCTTATTTTAATTTTAAATGTAACCGAAAGAGTAAAATTCTATACGAATAAAGATTAAAGACTAAAGGCATGACTATGGTCACTTTCCTCGGTGTCCAACGAGTAGATTTCAAACAATTATTTTTGTTATGAATACCTAGCTAAAAGGCCGATTAATATTTTTGTTTTTTATTGTATTATACGCGTTTACATTTTTACTTTATTACTAGTCAAGTTACTCAAGTGAGAGTATCCTTAAGTTATGTAAATAAGGTATTAAGTTGTTTTTCTTTTTTACATTTATACAATATGTTATGAATGAAATGGTGCAATCTGTTCGGGTTTTTGTTGACAATAATACGATAAATATTTAATCAAAACTGCATGAAATACTGTTATGATATTCTGTATTGTACTACAAAATCAAATAGATTGTGTCAATATTGGTTTGCTTTAATGTTTACATTCCCAACTTACATGAAGTCGGCGGTAAGGATTAGAACAAAATATTTTGTTTTTTATTTATGGGGCCCACAACTAAATATTGGACTCTGGGCCCCTTGAGGACTTATCCGGGCTTGGATCGGCCGAATTTTTCATCTAAAATAGCTTTAAAATTATGGTAACAATTTGTTGTTTTTAATTTAATATCACTCGAGTACTGAAAACTTTAAAAACTATAAAAAAAAGGAGGCTAAAACGTTTGTTTTGATTTTTTCCATATGGCATTAATGTCCGGGAGTAGGTCCGAAGGCCTAGTTCGGACGCCTGCTTGACAGAATGGGCAGTGTTCAGCCGTTGTTTTCTGCTAAGTTTTGATAGGGGGATGGCTAGGTTCGAACTGGCGACGGTGCCCGCCTTATAGGCCACTCCGTCCTGTTTGTTTTGATGTGTACTTAATGCCTAATTTGGTAAATTAATTTTTTTTAGATAAATTGAATCTAACCTATCAAAAATAAAGTAGTAAATTGAGTCCCAGATAAAAATTGAATACTTCAGTCTATTTGCATTACCCAGCAGACACCACATGTATGATAGCTTGAAAGTCTCTGAAAAATGTTTGTTTTTTAGTAGTAATATATTTAAAAGATAGGCTTAATAAAATCAAGTCAACATTTTAGTTTTTTAGTTATGTATATGTAGTTATACTTATCTTAATCTTAATAATATAAATACTTATTCAATACAGAAATATTTAAATAATACTTCCTAGTTCCTTTATAAATTCAAGTCTAGTAGTATTATTATTGGCCTTCGTTATTTGTTCTCTTAGCATATTTTATTTTTCGACATTGTTTTTTGAATTGTTTAAATTTATCATTAAACCGCTTATTTACAGTTTAAAAAAACCTATTTCAACTGCAGTGGAGAAGCGATAACTCTAGATAAGTGTGATAAATGCGCGTATTTATACATGGGACTGAACTTGCCGCTTTAATTTTTAAACGTATGATTCAATTAACCTGTACCCCTTAATACTTATGTACAAAAATGTAAAACAAACCTAGTACATTCAAAAGTGGGGTTGTGACATAGTAGTGACTAGTGACACATAGAGATAAAACCATATTTAAAAAACCTTTTAATGCAAATCTTAGACAAGGGTTATTATTGCAATGGTATATTGGTATCTAAAGAGTACCATACACAAATTTATAACTAAAGTAACAAACTACGTTTGTTGTAGTGTTCACATAAATCATAACGTATACCAGTAGTAAGCACTAAAAACTTTTTTATTTCTTTAATGCTTTGTAATTTTAGGCCTTTAACCACGAATTGTATTTTTAATAAAACGAATTACCAACCTAGCGAAGTATTCTGTGCTAGAAAAATAATATGTCATAACTCATAAGTAATTTGCATATCGCTATTTTTCATTTACCGATGTAAATTAAGTATATCAACATCAGTTAGTGTGATTATAAGAAATATTTGCTATATTAGTAGATTTGCTTTATGTGTTCTAATTATTTTATATGTAAAAAAGTATATTATAGGTACTTTAAAACCCAAGTAAATACCTACCCACTTATTTTATAAATACTTACTACTAAAATGGTAAAGTATTCAAAGTGTAATAATAACGGATGTCGACTGTTTTCGCAACCCTCCGCCATGTTTCCGGTGTGTTTGTAAAGGGGAAAAAGCCTAGGCGGAGGGTTGTAGCGCTCCGCCCAGCGCTAAGCCTATAACGGCTGGCCTCAGCGATAGCATACAGAGCGGTTGCTGAAACGTCGGTTTCAAAAAGTTCTTCGAAAACTAATAAAAATTTGTTTTTCATTTTTACAATTAATAGAGATTTACTGTAAAACTATACAAATTAATTTGAAGCGTGCATTAAAAACGATTTATTATGTAATTTAAATGTGAATCGGTCATTCAAGAAACTCTTTAAGTCATGAAATTAGAATTTTACAGACCAGTAAAAAACTTCTTCCGCAAACACATCATTAAATCGTCGAGTTACATACCATACAATATATGAAACAGCGTTGTTGTAAAAAATATATGACAAGAAGTAACTCAATGTTATTAGACATAGGTAGCTTATTATATCACTGAATAAATTAATAACAATTAAATAATAAGCTACTGGACAGTTAGCTGAGATAATAAATAAGACGGTAATTATAAAGTTAAAGGTACCTCAAGCGGATGATTTTCACAATTGGAACTAGATCTGGAGTTGTTCCAGCATTAAAAAAGTTACGTTGTTTACAGACACAACAAAAGCCTACGCCAGAGTGTTAACCAAATATACTATGCATCGAAGCTAAAAAGTCAGTTCTCCAGGCTGTATATTGTTAAGGTTTAGCATACCCCGTCTCGGCTTCTTTTTGGGTCTACATATGTACATTACATTGTATTGATTATGTCCCCCTCTTACTCAAGGGTCCCAGTCCCAGTCAAAGATCTAGTTCCAATTGTGAAAAGCGTCCCCAGAATCGTGGTACATAAAATTGTCGTTTCTGAAGCTTGTAATGCCCTTTTATTTCGTGACGATTTCGAATCGATTG